CATGGAGCAGGCCCCCGAGATCATGGGTCTCCAGCGTCGTGCTGTAGCCAACGCTCAGACCATCGAACGGCAGCAGGCAGCCGCACGGTCAAACGAATGGCGAGAACGTTTGAAGAAGGAGTCGGCAGCAGGCTCTTCTTTCATCCACAGGATCAGCAAGTGGCGTACCCCTCCTCCCCCCGTCACGGGTTACTCCGTCTCCAACCTCGAGCTTGCTGATCCTCAGGAAGCGGCCGACAGGGCAGCGCAAGAGTGGTTTGACGTTTGGGGCTCCCATGGACAGGAAAGCACGGGTCCCTGACCCTGGGAGGCCGCTTGTTTCGCCCATCCGTTGGTTCACCTGGACCGCCAGCTGTTTACCAAAATATGTTTGAGTTTTCCTGCCAGGACGGGAATAGGCTCCGACCACTGGCACCCACGCTGGTGGGCTTGGCTTTCGGACGAAGGCAAAGACTGTCTCATTCAGCTAGTGATGCTTATCTCTCGCACGGCACAGTTCCCATCGCAGGTAAGGTACATCATATACTTCCTACTTTCAAAGGAGTCGGGAGGCACTCGGCCGATTGGGCTCCTCCCCTCCCTCATGCGTGTAGTAGAACGAGCTCACTCTGGCCTCTTTCACGACTGGGGGCGCTCTGCCAAGCGCAAATATGACTTCGGGCGCCCTGGATGGGGGCTCCGAAGAGGCCGCGTGGCACCAGATGGTGCACGATGAGGGGACGCGTGAGGGGGAGGTGTCGGTGACGGGGGTGCTGGATCTGTCGCGTGCATTTGAACATGTAACCATGAATGCTATGTGGGTGGTAGCCCCTCTTTGCGGCTTCCCTCAGCAGCTAGCCAAGCTTCTCATCAGCATCTACACGTCCACCAGGCTGGTTGCCTTTCGAGGGGCCCTAGCCAAGAAGTCGATTAAAACTTTTTCGGCCGTTGTGGCTGGCTCGATCGGTGGCACCAGGGCACTCAAGATGGCGGTGCTGCAGGTCACCGATGCTATACATCAAGCCTGGGGGGCTCGCCTCCAGATGAAATTATTCGTCGGCGATCTCAGTATCCAGGTCCGAGGAGCGTTGCGATGTCTCACTGTTCTGCAGGCTGCTGTCACCTTCTATATCCGTGAGATTGAAAAGGTACCTGGCGCATCCCAGTCTCCCGTGGTGCCCGCGGCAAAGGGTGCATCCTCGTCGCCGCGGCCTCGGCTCGGAATCGCTGCGCTGCTTGGGCCAAAGACCTGGGTCTTGCCATCGCCGACGCCAGCTCACAGCTGGGAGTGGATAGCGCTGGAGGCGCCGTAGTTCGCAAAAGGAAGAAAATGCAGAAGCGATTTAAATACGCATGCCAGCGCAAGTCTAAATTAAAAGCCCTCTCGAAGCAAGGGGCCCGCCTCGCCAGGGTTGTCCGCCAAGGGGTGATCCCGTCCGTGACCTACGGGTCGAGCTGTTTAGGAGTCTCGCCTGTTTCTCTGAACAGAATGCGTGTCATGGTTTCGGGCAGCCTGGGCGGTAGTGCGGTTGGTCGAGACAGAGTCCTCCGACTCTGGACGCATCAAGTTGATCCTGTGGTCGAGGGGTCACAGAAGCCGCTATGCATGTGGGCCTCGCAGGCCTGGAATGGAGTGCATCAGGTAGACATGGCCAGGGCATGGCGCAGGGAAATGTCTCGCGAAGCGGCTAGACGGAGTCAAACGCTAGATCGCCCCTGGAGCCAAGTTCGAGGGCCTGCTTCTGCCTGTAATCTTACGCTGCAGCGGCTGGGCTGGTCCTGGCCTAGCTGGCACACCATCCGCATTCACACTGGTGAAATGTTTGACATGCGCCGATCGGCGCCCAGCACGCTGCGCAAGTATATTTACCTTCGCTTAGAGGATCAAGAGCTCACCGACTGGGCAACGCAGCGAGGCATGCCCTTTCGGAAGCCCTTCCTCGAGCCTTGTCGCGCAGCAGTCAGGACAAAAAAGAAAAAGGGCCAGAAGCAGTCGGCAATGCTAGCTTTCCTGTGCAGCGATTTTTGGACGCAAGATAAGGTTTGGAGAGCCAGCCACTCGGAAGATCGAAGTTGTCAAAAATGCGGGCACGCCATCGGAAACCAGCACCATAGATTTTGTAGGTGTCCAGCTTTTCAGGAGCAGCGCCAGGCTGCAGGTGAATCCTATCCTGATATAATCCACCGTGCCTCCTCCTCGTGCTCCTCCTCCCGTCTCTTCTCCAGGGCTCTCGCGCCTCACCCACTGGGGGACCCCTTCCAGGACGTCACGCCCAGCATTGAGACCCTGGACCCCGAGTACGGGGACGATCCCCTTCTCTCGGGCCTGGCCGATTCGGATGGGTCGGGGGTCGGGGTCTCTGGGTTGAAAGCGTTCGGTTGGGGCCTCTGCTTTGTTGACCAGCATGGTAATGTACGCAAAGCAATGCATAGCACGGTTCCAGGTGTAAGGCAGGCACAACGTGTGCTTAGAGCAGAATTGTATGGTTTTCTGAATGTTCTTCGGCACGGCACTGCCCCTCTACAGGTAGGGATCGATAATTCCACAGTCGTTCGGGGCTTCAGGCGAGGCCCAGTTTGGTGCCGCCAAGCCAGGCGACCGCATGCCGATTTATGGCACATGAATTGGAATGTGATTGAAGATTCGTTCTCGGGGGAGGGGGACCTCGTCGTCGTCAAGGTCAAAGCGCATTCCAAAAAGGCTCAGGCCCAGCAGCTCGAGGGACTCGAGCTGTGCAACTACCTAGGGAATCAATGCGCCGACCTTCAAGAGAAGGAGGGCGCCAAGCTAGACGCCATCCCGCCTCATATTCGAGACACGTGGGTGTCTAGGTTTAAGGAGGTTTGTGTTGTTCTCGGGCTTGTCGGTGACATGATTTGTAAGATAGGCACGTTTGATGACACCACAGGCCGTCTCCAGAATGTCTCCCAGCCCCCTGGCCCTCGGCCGTGCCGTTCGGTGCTGCCCCCTCCAGAGTCTCGGCACGTCCTGGAGTGGGATAGGGGGTCTTGGAGGTGTGCTTGTTGTGCTAGACGGGCCCACAGCTATAAGGCCAAGCTGGTGTTGTCTCGCAAGTTTTGCAGAAAGGGTTTCTCCTCCCACGGTAAGTGGAAGAAAATAGCGCGTGTCGACGGGGCTCCTTTGCAGGGGCCAAGGCGACGCAAGCTGTCTCGAATAGGCCACTATACCTTCTGTCGAGAGTGCGGCGCCTTTTTGAGCGCTAGGGCTTGTGGACTACTTACAGGATGTCCTAAGGACCCGAAGGACCACAACGCCAAGACTCGACGAAAACGTTTGCTGGCAGGTAAGCATCCGTATAATAATGAAAGACTGCCTGGAGAGGTGGTCGCGCTGTCAAGAACCCAGGAATTGGAGTTTCTGGAGTCGATTGGGATTGCTGCCAGGGCCTCTGCCGCTGGAAGTGGCGTAGAGGCACAATCTTCCTCCGCCGCCTCAGGCGGTGCGGAGGTCTAACCAGGTATGTCGCAGGTGGACGCGAGGTGCTCGCCCACGCTGTGCTCGCGGGAAAAAAACCTCCTCCTCCTCCTCCTCCTCCTCCTCCTCCTCCTCCTCCGTGGAATCTAACATCGGATGCAGGCCTGACGCCATAGGCTCCAGCCCCACCCCGTCTCGGGATGTTTACCTTGGAGGCCCTGAGCCTGCGATCTTGGGTGTCTTGGGGAACTCCTCGTCGAGTCTGCCTATGCTGGATGCCGCTCGACCTCGGGACTGCAATGCGGAGTCAGAAACGCAGCAACGTGTCAGACAGACCCACGCTGGTGACAGCGCGCCCACACACGAAGAGCCAGCAGTTCTGCAGCACTGTACGTCCGACGAGCATGTGACGCTGCTCTTCGCGAACATCACCGAATGGGGCGCTAAGGTTCGCAGCTTTGTGAACAGTCACAAGCACACCTACGCCATCGTGGGGCTGGTCGAGACGCATGTCCCCGACACCAAGTGCGCCCACTGGAACGAGGAACTCAGGAAGGACGGGTGGAGGCTCTCGTTCAAGGCAGGCTTTGCTTCTGGGAGGTCGGACTCAGGCATCTCGGCAGGGGAGTGGCTCCTCACGCGCTGTCACTTGGCCGCTACGCAGTTTGATAGACTGAGGGACCAGGCGATTGCCGACTCGCGCATGGATCCCTTTAAAGGCTTCTCGGCCACCACGCTACACCTCAAGTCGGGCAACCTCGTCTACATTGCAGCGTACTTGCTACCGTCACTGGGGATCGCTCAGTACAACAATGAGGTGTTGGTGGCATTGGGCGCATTTACCAAAGCTCTGGCAGATCCTTGGGTGGTTGTGGCGGACTGGAACAACGAACCGCAGATTCTATTGGATAGTGGATGGGTTGACAGGCTCAGAGGTCGGCTAGCGCTTCCTAACTGCAAGTTCACGTGCGACAAGGGGCAGGGACGCATGTATGATTATGCCATTGTCTCTAAGCAGCTTACTTCGGACCGCATCAGGCTCAGGCAAGTTTTAGCTGTTCCTTGGAAGACTCATTGCGCTATTGCCATTGATGTGCTGGACGCCAAGCGTACTTGGTGGCATAGGTCGCTGGAACTGCCAGAGCCGCTACCCAGGGCCAACCGCCCTCAGCAAGAGCCAAACCCAGACAGCAAGCGATCCCAGAAGCGCAAGCAGGTGGCAGATGCACGCAGACAGGAACTCCCCGAAGAGCTGCGCGAGGCCTTCGACGACCTGCCATCTCAGGAGCCACAGCCAGAAGGCCCCAAGGTCGCGTTCAAGTTGGAGCAGGAAGCATGGCTCCAGATCTATGGCGAAGTGGAGCAGGATACCTTCAGACCGCGAACAGCGGCAGCACAGTTGTCGACAGGTCCCCTGTCGACCTGGAGGCCCACTCAACGCTCTACCTTGGATAATCGATATGGACGATGGGTCACTACCTTGGAGCGGTCTATTGTTGCGGTCAGCGATGTGGAAGACCCCGTTATGTTTGCGGCAGAGGGCAAGGGTATTCAATTTCATGGAGGAAGATGCGCCCTGCCCCAGGTCGACCTCACATGTGCGACCCTGTAGCCGAATGGTGGGGGATCGCCTCCACGCTGCTTGCTCGAGGCGTGGCCTTGACACGCTCAGGCAGGGACCCTCCAGAGGCGGAGAAGTGCCTCGCGGGCTTTCGGTCCATGGTCCAGGGCCTGACAGACACCAAGCAGCAGGAATCCTTAGGGAAGAAGGCCTTGACCACCACAGTGCAAGAGTGGAAGGACGCTGTCCAGCATGCGCCTCACCTCAGCCAGACTGAGTTGGAGCAGCCCCAGGTGCACACCAACACGTGGGTCGACCGCGCCCAGGGGCGCTCATTAGTCAAGTCTCGCCAAGCCTTCATGGACTGGGCGAAGCAGATGTGGGCCAAGAGGCCAGGTGCTATTCATCGTCATGTACGTGCTCCTCCCCCTGACCCACTTCCTCGTGAGATCATCAGAGATGGCGTGGACACCGCCGACCCTTGCGTACTCATTCGCACGAAGAAGGACTTTTGGCAGGCAGTGTGGCAGGAGGATAATGACAGCAGGGAGCACTTGCTATGGACGTTGGAGGGATTGGCCAGGGATGCTCGTGATGACCCCTTGCCACCACTGAATGAAGGACAGATTGAATCGATTCTTAGACGACAATCGCCAAACAAAGCTAGAGGAGTTGATGGCTTGGGCCCAGTTGACCTTCAACGCATGCCTCAAGCTGGACTGTCTGAGCTCACGTGTATCCTCAATCAAGCGGAGCTACTGCAAACTTGGCCGACAGCGTGGTTAGCTACTATTTGTGCAGTTATTCCGAAGCCAGCTGGAGGCACGAGAGTACTGGGCATGTTGCCGCAATGCTGCAAGACGTGGAGTCAGGCGCGCAGTTCGGTCACCTCCAGTTGGTCAGATGGACTTTCTGCTTTCTGGGACACGGCCATCAGGGGCAGCAGCGCCCTGAGAGCCGCGATGACGAGAAGCCTCATGGATGAGGCCTCTGCTACCACAGGCAAGGCAACGGCGACGGTCTTGCTGGACATTGCCAAGTTCTACGACTCCATCTCCTTCACCCTCCTGGTGGTGGCGGCGCGGGGGCTCAACTTCCCTCCCACGGTGCTGCTCATGGAGATCCTGCTCTTCATGGCGCCGCGCATCCTCAAGGAGGGCTCGGTCATCAGCGAACCGTTCTGCCCAGGCCGCTCGATTGTGGCTGGATCGTCGCATGGAGTCTGCCTTGGAAAAGTGTTCTTGCATTCTGTGCTGGAGGCTGCGCACATTCGAGCCCCTCAGGCCTCGTTATGGACCTTCGTCGATGACACTGTGGGAAGATCTGAGGGCACCCAGGCCACTGTTGTTTCTGAGATGGAAGGTTTAGCTGAAGCTTTCTCGGAGGGATTCAGACTCAAAAGGCTCACTGTCTCGGACAAAACGGTTGTCTTGGCGTCCTCTCCTGAGCTAGGTAAGCACATTGCCAGAATTTTCAGAGCCCGAGGGATGCCCGCTAGGTTTGCTTCCGTTGGTGTTGATTTAGGTGTAGACACTGCGGCAGGACGTTTTCGGACACGGAAGAAGGCACGCCAGAGAATGACTAAAGCCAGCGGGCGTTTTTCTAGGATTGTGAAGATGCGCAGGCTGGCTGGTTTGAGGAAAGTCACCCAGGGCGCTTGGCGCACGGGAGCCTTACCACAGGCCAGCTTTGGCCATCAAGTTTATGGTATGCCACCGAGTCAGGTCCTGCTTCTTAGGCGACAAGCTGCTCGCACGGTCTCGGGAATGGGCAAGGGCAAATGTTTAACAACTGTTCTGCAGACGGTGCTGGGGGATGGAGATCCCGCCCTGGAAGTGCGCCGCCAATTGGTGGACGCCTGGCTGCAGCTGTGGAAGCGCTTCCCCGCCCTCCAGCCTCGAATTCGACGGTCGTGGGGTATCGTTCGGTCGCAGCTCGATTCGCTTGGCGCCAAAAGGTGGAGAGGCATTCGGGGGCCCATAGCTGCAGTCCAGGCCACCTTTCTTGAAGCAGGATGGGAGCCCAGGGAACCTGACCTGTGGGAGCGACCCGATCATGCGGAGCATGCGTGGAGGTTCCCACGAATGGGCGACCCAGATTGCGATTTACTCCCGATTTCTGACCATGCAGACTTGTTGCATGAGTTTGTTTCCGATATGAAGGCTAAGTTGTGGCAAGGTGCTGCAGGGCACGAGGCAGGCGACAGTTTGGAAGAAGGAGCCGATCTCCTCCCCCTGCAGCAGGAACTCCGTCGCTTCGAGTCTCGGGGTCAGGCGGACCTGTGGGGCCTCACCATGTGCGTGGCCTCGGGGGGCCAATGGCCACGTCAGCGCCAAGCCGACAGAGGCTACACGGTTGACGTAACTTGTCCAAGGTGCAAGGCGGCCCCTGAGACCTTGTTTCACAGAATATGGCAGTGCGCGTGTAATGTAGATCACCAAGATTTTAGCAGCACGCAGTCACTGATTTCCCAAGCCACGGCGCAATGGGAAGCAGACCCTTCTTTATGGCTGAGAGGAGTCCCGTCGAGAGACCTCACCTGCCCCGTCTTCCTTGACCCTCTTGAGGCCCCTCCTCTTAACGTACTACGGCTCCTCTCGCCTCAGCGAGTTTTGTGTTGCCCCTGGCCAGGACCCTCCCCACATTTTTGGAGATGGGTCGGGGGGGAAATACAGCAGTGACCCGAGACGCAGGCGCTGTGGCTCTGGAGTTGCCCTCATTCGTCGGGCTGAGGATGGCTCCTGGGAGCCGGTCGCGGGTGTCTCTTCCCCCCTCCTGGGGCCGCGGCAGACCGTGTCGCGCGCGGAGATAGCTGCGTTTGCCATCGCTCTGGAAGAAACCACGGGACCCATCATTTATATCACTGATTGCCAGCCTGTCCTGGATGGTTGGAGAGCAGGTCGAGCCCACGGCAAGCTAGGCCCGAATCAGGACTTGTGGTACAGGGTGGCGGTGGCGTTGCGTAATCGGGGGGTGGCTGAAGTGCAGGTCGTGTGGACGGCTGCCCATCTAGAAGACACAGGCAAGGCTCTCAGTGCTTGGCAAGTTTTCCTCACTGCTGGCAACATGTGCGCTGATGACCTTGCGGGTAAAGCGGCTGACGAGGCCTTGCTCCTGTATACTCGCCAGCCTGCCCCCAGTACTGACATCTATGATTGCATCGCCCACCTTGTCAGACGCAGGGCCCGACGTGCGTTGCAGTGCTCACTCCAGGTTGACCCTTGGCAGGCCACAAGGCTCGCCAAAGTGCGGGTGCCCCCTCCCTCCAGGAAGGCTGCTGCCCTGAGGGACACCTCTCATGATTGTGAGCAGGTCGGGAGCAGGTGGCGCTGTAGGGTTTGCAGTCAGATTGTGGCTTCCACCCAGCTCCTCAAGTTTTGTGCTCAGTCTTGTCCAGGCCTGGCCCCTGAGATCCGAGGTCAGAAGTCGGAGTGGAGCCAATTTGTCTTGAGGACTGGAGAGATTTTGATTGGGGCCACCTCGGCCCACTCGTCCCACAAAATCTTCTATTGGCCTGAGTTTTCCTTGCATTTTTGTGTTTGTTGTGGGCTGACCGCCACAGTGGATGGTAGGTGGCTCGCACGTCCTTGCCAGGAGCCCTCCCCCAAAGGAGCCCAGAACCTTGACAGGATTCGTCGAGGCATTTTTCCTTCGCACAGGGGACCCCCGAAGGCGGTGCAGCTGGCCAGAGTGCAGCGTGAAGCTTCGGACGCGGTCCAGCGTGCGAGGGAGGCTCGGGAGGAGAGTGGAATGCAGCAGCCCCTTTTCTGTGTGGGAGGTGAGGGTGGAGCGGCTCGCCGACCCACCAGGATCCCTCACCGTGAAGGCGGGGACTCATCGTCGGATTAGTCCCCGCCTAACCCGTTTAGTTTTGCGGACGCTCGTCCTTTCATGGTCACTTCTGGTCACTCCTCCTCCTCCTCCTCCCTCCTCCCTCCTTCCTCCTGGGCGGCGCACCTGGTGGCAGAAGCCAACCTCTGGGGGGCAGCCACGGCGCGAGCGAGGGTTCCTGATCCGAGGAGGGCGGCGGGGAGGTCCAGGGCCGATCCGCGATTGGAGTTCCACCGGCCTCCAGGCCCTGGCTTCCCCCTCCTCCTCCTCCTCCTCCTCCTCCTCCTCCTCCTCCTCCTCCTCCTCCCCCCTCCCCTTCCCCCTCCTCCTCCCCCTCCTCGTCCCTCCTCCCCCCGGCCTCCAGGCCCTGGCTTCCTCATCCAAGGCTTCCTCATCCAATGCCCCCAACGTGTGCGTACCTTTGTGCCCCTCTCCCCCCCCCCGTCGCCGCCCGTTGGCCATCGTCGCCGGCTCGTCGTCGTCGTCGTCGTCGTCGTCGTCGTCGTCGTCGTCGTCGTCGTCGCCGTCGCCGTCGCCGTCGCCGTCGCCGTCGTCGTCGTCCTCTTCGTCATCGTGGTCATCGGAGGGAGGGGGGGAAGGCGGGGGGGAATGAATGAATGAAGCACCTCTCTGGACACTCGTCCGGGCCTACCTATGGCCAGGTGGGGGAGGTCATGGCCTCTTGGATCAAGTACGTTTGCAAACACAGACATGTATCAGACCCGCGAGGCACAGGAAAACCTTACGACTGAAGGGGGAGGGGAGGAGGAGGACCAAGTCTTGGCTGGCTGTGGATGTTGACGAGGTGCCGCCAAGCTGTGCCGGTGTACTCGGGAAGCGGAAACGCATGGGTGGAGGGGCTCCCTCCTGACGGGGCACGGGCGTTGAGGGGCGGGACGGGGGATGGGTGGCAGGGCGTGCGGGAGGGTGCCGGGGCAGGGGCAGAGCGACGGGGAGGACCTCCTCCGCCTCCGCCTCCTCCTCCTCCTCCTCCTCGAGGGGGAGGGTGCCGACGCAGCAGAAGGAGGACTGACAAAACCGCCGGGTCTGCGAGCGGGCCGCCACGGAGCAGTTTCCGAGGCAGGTGCACGGGTGATCCGAACAAGTTTTTTGATTCGTAGGTCGAGAGCGCACCTCTTCCGATCGAAGCGAAGCGGGCCGCGCGACCAAGTGCCAAACAAGTGCCACTGTGGGGCACCCATTGCCCGGGGAGCGTCCCAGTTCGCAGCAGGAGGTGACAGAAGCAGCAGGAGGAGCAGGTGGAGGGCGAAAGTCGCGTTGTAGTGGGACTCTGGAGCTGGTGGGCTTGTCGGCCTTCTTGCCGTCTCCGAGTTCCAGGATGCTGCAGCCTTGCTTCCGTGGTTCGCCGCTGGCCGCTTACGGTCAGGAACTTCGGCTTAGCGTGTCGCTCCGCCAGTTCCGGCTAACCACGCTTGAGACAATTCTTTATCCACCCAAGGGATAACGCATGTTACCCCCCCTTCCCCCCCCCGTAGCGGTAACGCCTTGGCCCCAGTCCAGCGCGCGATCTTGGGCAGCCTGGGGTCTGTTGTGCACGCGGGCGT